TGGCAGCAAGCTGCTAGGTCTGCTGGTAGAACCAGTAAAGGCTGCTTTACCATTCTTGGGTAGCGGAATCACTTTGGCTTCCCTCCAGGCCTGAGGACAAAGACTTTCCTCTAGACTCAGATTAAAGATATGACAGATAGGAGTGGCTATAGAGTCAGCTACCATCCTCAGTAGCTTTCCATCTGAGTTGTCAATGCCAGGAGGTTTGTCATTATTGACTGATAACAATAATTTTTCCACCTCACACACTTTACAAAATTCAAACTTGCAATGCTTTTCTTTCATTGTTTTTCTATACATGAGTACATTGGCTCACTGTTCATTGGTGGCATTTCCTGCCTAAGTTTGCCCACTTTGCCAATGAAGTAATCATTAAAATAATTGGCAACATCAAATGGTTTTGTGATGAATAAGCCATCTGATTCGATGAAAGATGGAGTTGAATTTGTCTTACTGCCCATAATTTCATTTAAAGTACTCAAGTTTTTTTCCATCATTCTTTAGATCATTGATCTTGGCTTCATAATACAGTTTATTCTTCTTTTTGTTGAGTTTAGTCACATAGTTTCTCAATTTGCAGTAAATCAGCCAGTCAGATGTGCAGCCAGACTTATTAGCCACTCCTGTGGGTGTGGGTGTGTCTTACAGGTGTGGGTGTGTCTTACAGGTGTGGGTGTGTCTTACAGGTGTGGGTGTGTCTTACAGGTGTGTGTTTGTCTTACAGGCGTCGGGTGCTGTTGAGGCCACAGGGACTCCATGCCCTCCATTGCCAGGTGATGTTGGGGGCGGGGCGTCCGTACCCTGTACAGGTGAGGGTCTGTCTGCTGCCATGGCGATATGGGTTGGAGGGTGTTGCTATTTCCTTCTCATGGATCTGAGGGGGAACTGGGGGGGGGGGGGGAGAGAAGGGAGGAGGAGGAGGGGAGAACGACAGGGAAGACTCTAATCAGACCTTGGTCAAATACATACATCTAATATTTACAAATACGTGATTTAGCTTGAAGCTTGAACTTTTTGGGAATATTCCATTGGTTTTATTGAACCTGGCAAAATAAATCATGCTCAGTACAACTACACCGCTGAGAGTGTCTTCAACTACACGCTGAGAGTGTGTTCAACTACACCGCTGAGAGTGTGTTCAACTACACGCTGAGAGTGTATGTGTTCAACTACACTGCTGAGAGTGTGTTCAACTACACCGCTGAGAGTGTATGTGTGTTCAACTACACTGCTGAGAGTGTGTTCAACTACACCGCTGAGAGTGTATGTGTGTTCAACTACACTGCTGAGAGTGTGTTCAACTACACCGCTGAGTGTGTATGTGTGTTCAACTACACCGGTGAGAGTGTATGTGTGTTCAACTACACCGCTGAGAGTGTGTGCATGTGTTAAACTACACTGCTGAGAGTGTGTGTTCAACTACACCGCTGAGAGTGTGTGTGTGTGTGTGTTAAACTACACTGCTGAGAGTGTGTGTGTGTTCAACTACAACGCTGAGAGTGTGTGTGTGTTTAACTACACCACTGAGAGTGTGTCTTCAACTACACCACTGAGAGTGTTTCTTCAACTACACCACTGAGAGTGTGTGTGGTCAACTACACCGCTGAGAGTGTGTTCAACTACACCACTGAGAGTGTGTGTTCAACTACACCACTGAGAGTGTTTCTTCAACTACACCGCTGAGAGTGTGTTCAACTACACCACTGAGAGTGTGTTCAACTACACCGCTGAGAGTGTGTGTTCAACTACACCACTGAGAGTGTGTTCAACTACACCGCTGAGAGTGTGTGTTCAACTACACCACTGAGAGTGTTTCTTCAACTACACCGCTGAGAGTGTGTGTTCAACTACACCACTGAGAGTGTGTTCAACTACACCACTGAGAGTGTGTTCAACTACACCACTGAGAGTGTGTTCAACTACACCGCTGAGAGTGTGTGTTCAACTACACCACTGAGAGTGTGTTCAACTACACCGCTGAGAGTGTGTGTTCAACTACACCGCTGAGAGTGTGTTCAACTACACCACTGAGAGTGTGTTCAACTACACCACTGAGAGTGTGTCTACAACTACACCGCTGAGAGTGTGTGTTCAACTACACCGCTGAGAGTGTGTCTACAACTACACCGCTGAGAGTGTGTTCAACTACACCGCTGAGAGTGTGTTCAACTACACCGCTGAGAGTGTGTTCAACTACACCGCTGAGAGTGTCTTCAACTACACCGCTGAGAGTGTGTCTACAACTACACCGCTGAGAGTGTGTGGTCAACTACACCACTGAGAGTGTGTTCAACTACACCACTGAGAGTGTGTTCAACTACACCGCTGAGAGTGTGTGTTCAACTACACCGCTGAGAGTGTGTTCAACTACACCACTGAGAGTGTGTTCAACTACACCGCTGAGAGTGTGTTCAACTACACCGCTGAGAGTGTGTGTTCAACTACACCGCTGAGAGTGTGTTCAACTACACCACTGAGAGTGTGTTCAACTACACCACTGAGAGTGTGTTCAACTACACCGCTGAGAGTGTGTGGTCAACTACACCACTGAGAGTGTTTCTTCAACTACACCGCTGAGAGTGTGTGTTCAACTACACCGCTGAGAGTGTGTGTTCAACTACACCGCTGAGAGTGTGTTCAACTACACCGCTGAGAGTGTGTTCAACTACACCGCTGAGAGTGTGTGTTCAACTACACCGCTGAGAGTGTGTGTTCAACTACACCGCTGACAATAGTTTGATGGTGAGCGTTATATGCATCAGGTGCTATTGTTTATCTGTAAATGTTTCTTGTTATTTGTTTATTTGTTACCGTTGACGATGAGTGTGACGGTGATGGGGTTGGTTCCTGTTGACGATGAGTGTGATGGTGAGTGTTAAGGTGATGGTTACCGTTGATGATGAGTGTGATGGTGATGGTTATGGTGATAGTAACCGTTGACGATGAGTGTGATGGTGATAGTTACTGTTGAAGATGAGTGTGATAGTTATGGTGATAGTTACCGTTGACGATGAGTGTTATGGTGATAGTTACCGTTGATGATGAGTGTGATGGTTATGATGATAGTTACCATTGACGATGAGTGTTATGGTGATAGTTACTGTTGAAGATGAGTGTGATAGTTATGGTGATAGTTACCGTTGATGATGACTGTTATGGTGATAGTTACCATTGACGATGAGTGTGATGTTATGATGATAGTTACCGTTGACGATGAGTGTTATGGTGATAGTTACTGTTGAAGATGAGTGTGATAGTTATGGTGATGGTTACCATTGACGATGAGTGTGATGGTGAGTCTCCTCTCCAGCAGGGCGGCGGTGTTCTTGAGGAGGACGGTGTAGTTCCCAGCATCCTCAGGGTGAACGTCTCTGATCTCTAAGGCATGGTGCTGATGGAGACGCATCCTGTTGAACTCTGGACGACGGCTGATCAACTTATCACCTTTATACCTGAGAGAAGATCCAAACAAAAAGGAATACAAAGTTGAACTTGATATAGAAAATTGTTGTAGCAAACAAGTATTATTATATACATGCACCAGAAACAGGGTACACTTTGGGACTTGTCAGATCGATATCAGCAAGCTAGAATAGCTAACTGCAGCAAAATAGCTAGCTAGCTGATTGGCTAAACAGAACGTCAGCACGCTGTTCTCTGATTGGCTAAACGGACCTGTATCGCCTTTTTCAGAAGGCATGTCCAGCAACAAACCTAGTTCTGAAAGGTGATTTTAGAGGGTGTCCTCGCAACAAAGTCACAACATTATGAAGATCAATGTTCCATGTCAGATAGTTAACATGATGGTCTTACCACTGTATGTCAGGTGTGGGGTATGCTGACACCTTGACTAACAGTTTAAAGGACTTCTGTCCTAATGTTGCCTCGATGACCGGGCCGCTCCTGTAGTCCAGGCTGATGAATGGCTTCTCTGCAACAGGACACACACACACACACACACACACACACACACACACACACACACACACACACACACACACACACACACACACACACACACACACACACACACACACACACACACACGCAAACATATGAGGGCAAACAGTAGCATAGGAGGTTTGGTGAAGCATACTTGTGTAATAAGAAACCTTGCCAGAGACCGGAAGACTTAGGCAATATCTCTTATTACCTAGGCTTTAGCTCAGCAGGCTAACACAGTCTTGTTGCGCAAGACAAAGGAGCTGATCGTGGACTACAGGAAAAGGCGGGCCGAACAGGCCCCCATTAACATCGACGGGGCTGTAGTGGAGCGGGTCGAGAGTTTCAAGTTCCTTGGTGTCCACATCACCAACGAACTATCATGGTCCAAACACACCAAGACAGTTGTGAAGAGGGCACGACAACACCTTTTCCCCCTAAGGAGACTGAAAAGATTTGGCATGGGTCCCAGATCCTCAAAAGGTTCTACAGCTGCACCATCGAGAGCATCCTGACAGGTTGCATCACCGCCTGGTATGGCAACTGCTTGGCATCTGACCGTAAGGTGCTACAGAGGGAAGTGTGTACGGCCCAGAACATCACTGGGGCCAAGCTTCCTGCCATCCAGGACCTCTATACTATATATTTTGCACACACTGTATATAGATTTTCTATTGTGTTATTGACTGTATGTTTTGTTTTACCCCATGTGTAACTCTGTGTTGTTGTTGTTTTTATCGCACTGCTTTGCTTTATCTTGGCCAGGTCGCAGTTGTAAATGAGAATTTGTTCTCAACTGGCTTACCTGGTTAAATAAAGGTTAAATAAAAAAATTACAAAAATACTAGGCGGTGTCAGAGGAAAGCCCCAAAAATGGTCAAAGACTCCAGTCACCCAAGTCATAGACTGTTCTCTCTGCTACCGTATGGCAAGCGGAACCAGAGTGCCAAATCTAGGACCAAAAGGCTCCTTAACAGCTTCTACCCCAAGCATTGACTCGGTACCGGTACCCCCTGTATATAGCCTCGTTATTGTTATTTTATTGTGTTACTTTTTACTATTTTTTACTTAAGTTTATTGTTTATTTGGTAAATGTTTTCTTAACTCTTTCTTGAACTGCACTGTTGGTTAAGGGCTTGTAAGTAAGCATTTCATGGTAAGGTCTACCTACACCTGTTGTATTCGGCGCATGTGACAAATAAAGTTTTATTTAATTTGATTTGAAATGGCCCGGGTTTCAAACTTAGTTCTTTACCATGCACTATGACTTGGGTTGCCAGATCCTGTATTTTCTCCACAATGATGGCAGAGCAGGTGTAGGTGCCGGTGTCGGTGACGTTGACGCTTTGGATGGTCAGGATGCTGACTGCCTCCGTGAACCGAGAGAGAGAATTACGCTTGTGCACTACGCCCACTGTACTGTTCATCTAGAGGTGGGAGAGAGAGAGAGAGACAGAGAGAGAGAGAGAGAGAGAGAGAGAGAGGGGGGGGGGCAGAGAGAGATGAAGAGAGAGAGAGAGAGGAGAGAGAGAGAGAGCGAGAGAGAGAGATAGAGAGAGGGGGGACAGAGAGAGAGAGGAGAGCGAGAATTGATAGATAGAGATCTATCCCTCTAGAGAGAGACTTCTAGAATATCTATAGATCTTAGAGGAGCTATATAGATCAGAGATAATCTAGACAGCCTAGCCTCTCCCTCTCTTTATCCCTCTCGTATTCTATCATCTCTCTCTATGACTTCCCATCATCACGACATTCTATACTCATTAATCCATCTATTAACCTAGTTCCTCTAAATCCAAGCTACATAAAATAGGAGCATATAATTAAAGCGATCCACCCATTAACCATCACAGCCATGCCCATCTCCTCATATGTCAGTGAATTAGCTTAATCCGAGCTGCAGCGATACCGATCTCTTGCCATAGGTTCTGTTCCATTCAAATGTATGTTTTTTCACCCAAAAAATGTATCTGGATCTACGTAATATGTGCAAACTACCGTTTTCTCTACCGTACCTGTTTTCCAGGATAGGACCACTGGAACACGACGGGCGTGTCAAACTCTACGGTGGCGGTACAGTTGAGCGTCAGGGCTTCCCCCATGATCAGCTCCACCGAGTCCTCTGGATACAACTTGACGTCGTAAACCTGACTTCCTGTCGGGGGGGAAAGTGAGAGCAGTCACCGTGACACCAATACAGTGACGTCCCGGTGTACGACAAACAGAGCTGGCCCAGAGAAGCTGAGTCTCTTTGGCTGGCCCAACCATGTCCCTGGCCGCTGGCACCGTTCCCATACTTTTAACTCACATCCTCACTTTCTCTCTTCCTTGAAGTAATCACTTGAAGTAATTACCTATCTACCAACATGAGTGGCGCAGTGGTCTAAGGCACTGCATCACAGTGCTAACTGTGCCACTAGAGATCCTGGTTCGAATCCAGGCTCTGTCGCAGCCGGCCGCGACCGGGAGACTCATGGGTGGCGCACAATTGGCCCAGTGTCGTCCAGGGTAGGGGAGGGAATGGCTGGCAGGGATGTAGCTCAGTTGATAGAGCATGGCGTTTGCAAAGCCAGGGTTGTGGGTTTGATTCCCACGGGGGGCCAGTATAAAAAATAAATAAAAATATTAATAATAATAATAATAAAATAAAAAACACAAAATAAAAAAAATGTATTCACTAACTGTAAGTCGCTCTGGATAAGAGCGTCTGCTAAATAATGTAAATGTATAAATGTAATAAATGTAACATTGAGTCAGGGAAAGTTGCATTGCTTTACACCTATCCAGTCAATACAGATCAGTGATTACTTCAACTAAGGGAGGAAGGGTGGTTGAACTAAGTATTTGAACAAGTCTAAGGGCACAGCCATTGTCTTTGGCTGGAGTGGGCTAGCTCTGTCGGCTCGAGGCTGAGCTAATCTGCTGAAATGTCAACCTTTCAAGCTGTCGTCCCTAATCTGTGAGGACTTGATAGGGGAAAACAAACTGTCGTCCCTAATCTGTGAGGACTTGATAGGGGAAAACTAACTGTCGTCCCTAATCTGTGAGGATTTGATAGGGGAAAACAAACTGTCGTCCCTAATCTGTGAGGACTTGATAGGGGAAAACAAACAGTCTTAATCCAGTCCTTTCACCTGTTATTAGGAAAACTTTAAGAGTATCAGCGCCCGGCCAAGATCTTTCTAATTGTGAAACTCAAGTTGTGGCTCTCTGAACTCATTGGAAAAAAATTGGAATCTTAAAAACTCTGTGTGATGCTGTATGAAGGTGATACTGTATCTGTACTGGGAGTGAGCTAGCTAGCTAGCGTCTGTATGAAGGTTATATTGTATATGTACTGGGAGTGAGCTAGCTAGCTAGCGTCTGTATGAAGGTGATACTGTATCTGTACTGGGTGTGAGCTAGCTAGCATCTGTATGAAGGTGATACTGTATCTGTACTGGATGTGAGCTAGCTAGCTAGCGTCTGTATGAAGGTGATACTGTATCTGTACTGGATGTGAGCTAGTTAGCTAGCATCTGTATGAAGGTGATACTGTATCTGTACTGGATGTGAGCTAGCTAGCTAGCGTCTGTATGAAGGTGATACTGTATCTGTACTGGATGTGAGCTAGCTAGCTAGCGTCTGTATGAAGGTGATACTGTATCTGTCCTGGATGTGAGCTAGCTAGCTAGCGTCTGTATGAAGGTGATACTGTATCTGTACTGGACGTGAGCTAGCTAGCTAGCGTCTGTATGAAGGTGATACTGTATCTGTCCTGGATGTGAGCTAGCTAGCTAGCTAGCGTCTGTATGAAGGTGATACTGTATCTGTACTGGATGTGAGCTAGCTAGCTAGCATCTGTATGAAGTTGATACTGTATCTGTACTGGGTGTGAGCTAGCTAGCTAGCGTATGTTTGTCTTAACGCTCCATTTTAAGAGTGATGGCAGGCAATGGAAGGCTGTTTCCTCAGAGCCATGAGTCTGTTTCTGTTGGCCCGGGCCGGTGTGGTAAAGGTAATCTCTTCAGGTCTGGACTGAGAGACTCTGTAAAGTGAGTCCCAAATTACACCCTATTCCCTATAAAGTGCACTACTTTAGACGAGCCTGGTCATAAGTAGTGCACTACATTGGGAATAGTGTGGCATTTGGGACTCAGATTCTGAAGTTCTGAGAGGTGAGTGATCTCATGCAATAACACTGGGACTCCAGATCCACAGGTCTCACAGAGTTTAATCTCAACCAGAAATTTAGACAGCAGGCAGAAAGACAGCCATGAGTGCTGAGTGCTTCTAAGAATTGTTGTCTTAGTTCTCTCTTAATTAAATTACCCTCCTACTCTTTATTTGATAAATATTTGGTAATGTATCCCACTTTAGACCTTTAAGAGTGGGATCCCTAATGCTATAGGGAGACATGTAGTATGGCCATCTCTAATGCTATAGGGAGACATGTAGTATGGCCATCTCTAATGCTATAGGGAGACATGTAGTATGGCCATCCCTAATGCTATAGGGAGACATGTAGTATGGCCATCCCTAATGCTATAGGGAGACATGTAGTATGGCCATCCCTAATGCTATAGGGAGACATGTAGTATGGCCATCTCTAATGCTATAGGGAGAGGTAGTATGGCCATCCCTAATGCTATGGGGAGACATGTAGTATGGCCATCCCTAATGCTATAGGGAGACATGTAGTATGGCCATCTCTAATGCTATAGAGAGACATGTAGTATGGCCATCCCTAATGCTATAGGGAGACATGTAGTATGGCCATCTCTAATGCTATAGGGAGACATGTAGTATGGCCATCCCTAATGCTATGGGGAGACATGTAGTATGGCCATCCCTAATGCTATAGGGAGACATGTAGTATGGCCATCTCTAATGCTATAGAGAGACATGTAGTATGGCCATCTCTAATGCTATAGGGAGACATGTAGTATGGCCATCTCTAATGCTATAGGGAGACATGTAGTATGGCCATCTCTAATGCTATAGGGAGACATGTAGTATGGCCATCTCTAATGCTATAGGGAGACATGTAGTATGGCCATCTCTAATGCTATAGGGAGACATGTAGTATGGCCATCCCTAATGCTATAGGGAGACATGTAGTATGGCCATCTCTAATGCTATAGGGAGACATGTAGTATGGCCATCTCTAATGCTATAGGGAGACATGTAGTATGGCCATCTCTAATGCTATAGGGAGACATGTAGTATGGCCATCTCTAATGCTATAGGGAGAGGTAGTATGGCCATCTCTAATGCTATAGGGAGACATGTAGTATGGCCATCCCTAATGCTATAGGGAGACATGTAGTATGGCCATCTCTAATGCTATAGGGAGACATGTAGTATGGCCATCTCTAATGCTATAGGGATACATGTAGTATTGCCATCTCTAATGCTATAGGGAGAGGTAGTATGGCCATCCCTAATGCTATAGGGAGACATGTAGTATGGCCATCTCTAATGCTATAGGGAGACATGTAGTATGGCCATCCCTAATGCTATAGGGAGACATGTAGTATGGCCATCTCTAATGCTATAGGGAGAGTAGTGTGTACTAGATAGAGTGTAGTCAGTAGAGTGTGAGTTCTGGTAACCTGAGGGTGCAGAGGTCATATTTTTCATGCAGGTTGGCTGTGTACTAGGTAGTACATAGTTACCTGTGGAGTGCACCAGGTAGAGGATAGAGCGGTACTCTATCCCTTGTAGTGTAGCTAGGCAGTAAAACCCGATGAGGAAAGGTCTAGAGTCTAAGGTCTGTCTAGGGATGGACCAGCCTCTTTTACTGTCCCACACCATCCCCTCATCCTCCAGGGGCATAGGCATCGTCTCCCACTGGGGAGAGAGGAGAGGAGAGAGGGATGAGAGAGGAGAGGAGAGAGGGATGAGAGAGGAGAGGAGAGAGGGATGAGGGAGGAGAGAAGAGGAGGAGAGAGGGAGAGAGGGGAGAGGGGGAGGGGGGGGAGGGGTGAGGGGATGAGAGGGGAAGGGGGAGAGAGGAGGGGGAGGAGGAGGGGCGAGGAGAAGAGGATGAGGAGAGATGGAGAGGAGAGGAGAGGGGAGAGAGGGAGAGGAGGAGAAAGAGGAAGGGAGAGGAGGAGAGGAGAGAGGGAGGAGAGGGAGAGAGGGAGAGAAGGAGAGAGAGAGAGAGAGAGGTGAGGGAGAGGGAGAGGGATGAGAGAGAGAGAGGAGGAGAGAGGAAGAGAGGGGGAGGAGAGAGGAGAGGGGAGGAGAGAGGAGGGAGAGGAGAGAGGAGAGAGAGGAGGAGAGGAGAGGGAGAGAGGGAGGAGAGAGGAGAGAGGGAGAGAGGAGAGAGGGATGAGAGAAGGGGATGAGAGAAGGGGATGAGAGAGGGAGAGGGAGGAGAGAGGAGAGAGAGAGGAGAGAGAGGGAGGAGAGAGGGATGAGAGAGGAGAGGAGAGGAGAGAGGGAGGAGAGAGGGATGAGAGAGAAGAGGAGAGGAGAGAGGGATGAGAGAGGATAGAGGGATGAGAGAGGAGAGAGGGAGGAGAGAGGAGAGAGGGAGAGGAGAGAGGAGAGATGGATGAGAGAGGAGAGAGAGAGGAGAGGAGAGAGGAGAGAGGGAGGAGAGAGGAGAGAGGGATGAGAGAAGGGGAGGAGAGAAGAGAGGAGAGGAGAGAGTAAATGAGGAAAGGAGAGAGTGAATGGATGAAGAGAGAATGATTATTGTGAAAATAAAGAGAATAAATTGGTGAAAAGTGAGAGCAGAGCAGAGCAGAGTAGAGTAGAGTAGAGTAGAGTAGAGCAGAGCATAGTAGAGCAGAGCAGAGTAGAGTATAGTAGAGTATAGTATAGTAGAGTAGAGTAGAGTAGAGTAGAGTAGAGTAGAGTATAGTATAGTATAGTATAGTATAGTATAGTAGAGTAGAGTAGAGCAGAGCAGAGCAATGTAGAGTAGAGCAGAGCAGAGTAGAGTAGAGCAGAGTAGAGCAGAGCAGAGTAGAGTACAGTAGAGTAGAGTAGAGTAGAGTAGAGTACAATTCAGTTCAGTAGAGTAGAGAAGGTACCAACCAGATAAAGTGTGACGTTGAGGTCGGGGACAGTGACTAGACAAGGTACTGTGATGTGAGTGGAGGATCCTGTTATGAAGATGGTCTCCAGGTCATCGTTGCGTCCTCTGTTTCTCCTGAGGAAAGGCTGCTCCGGATCTGGAGGAAAGGAGACAGGTCAGTCATGGTAGTCAGAGGACAACGACTGAGGGAAAAAGGATTTGATCCCCTGCTGATTTTGTAAGTTTGCCCACTGACAAAGAAATGATCAGTCTATAATTTTAATGGTAGGTTTATTTGAACAGTGAGAGACAGAATAACAACAAAAAAATCCAGAAAAACGCATGTAAAAAATGTTATAAATTGATTTGCATTTTAATGAGGGAAATAAGTATTTGACCCCCTCTCAATCAGAAAGATTATTGGCTCCCAGGTGTCTTTTATACAGGTAACGAGCTGAGATTAGGAGCACACTCTTAAAGGGAGTGCTCCTAAATTCAGTTTGTTACCTGTATAAAAGACACCTGTCCACAGAAGCAATCAATCAGATTCCAAACTCTCCACCATGGCCAAGAACAAAGAGCTCTCCAAGGATGTCAGGGACAAGATTGTAGACCTACACAAGGCTGGAATGGGCTACAAGACCATCGCAAAGCAGCTTGGTGAGAAGGTGACAACAGTTGGTACGATTATTCGCAAATGGAAGAAACACAAAATAACTGTCAATCTCACTCGGCCTGGGGCTCCATAAAAGATCTCACCTCGTGGAGTTGCAATGATCATGAGAACGGTGAGGAATCAGCCCAGAACTACACGGGAGGATCTTGTCAATGATCTCAAGGCAGCTGGGACCATAGTCACCAAGAAAACAATTGGTAACACACTACGCCGTGAAGGACTGAAATCCTACAGCGCCCGCAAGGTCCCCCTGCTCAACAAAGCACATATACAGGCCCGTCTGAAGTTTGCCAATGAACATCTGAATGATTCAGAGGAGAACTGGGTGATAGTGTTGTGGTCAGATGAGACCAAAATGGAGCTCTTTGGCATCAACTCAACTCGCCGTGTTTGGAGGAGGGTGAATGCTGCCTATGACCCCAAGAACACCATCCCCACCGTCAAACATGGAGGTGGAAACATTATGCTTTGGGGGTGTTTTTCTGCTAAGGGGACAGGACAACTTCACTGCATCAAGGGGACGATGGACGGGGCCATGTACCGTCAAATCTTGGGTGAGAACCTCCTTCCCTCAGCCAGGGCATTGAAAATGGGTCGTGGATGGGTATTCCAGCATGACAATGACCCAAAATACACGGCCAAGGCAACAAAGGAGTGGCTCAAGAAGAAGCACATTAAGGTCCTGGAGTGGCCTAGCCAGTCTCCAGACCTTAATCCCATAGAAAATCTGTGGAGGGAGCTGAAGGTTCGAGTTGCCAAACGTCAGCCTCGAAACCTTACTAATTGGAGAAGATCTGCAAAGAGGAGTGGAACAAAATCCCTCCTGAGATGTGTGCAAACCTGGTGGCCAACTACAAGAAACGTCTGACCTCTGTGATTGCCAACAAGGGTTTTGCCACCAAGTACTAAGTAATGTTTTGCAGAGGGGTCAAATACTTATTTCCCTCATTAAAATGCAAATCAATTTATAACATTTTTGACATTCGTTTTTCTGGATTTTTGTTGTTGTTATTCTGTCTCTCACAGTTCAAATAAACCTACAATTAAAATTATAGACTGATCATGTCTTTGTCAGTGGGCAAACGTACAAAATCAGCAGGGGATCAAATACTTTTTTCCCTCACTGTATATACTTTCAGAATGAAGACAATCAGTTGATCGTGATGGTTTGTGTTACCGCTTGGCTGGAACAAATGTCTTTACATACAACCCTTGGGGATGAATAAAGTACAACCTAATCTCATCTAATCTAATCTAATCTCATCTAATCTCACCAACTCTCTGTGTATAAACAATGGCCCACCCTGGAATAGAACAGCATCTAGGACCCCTGCAATGTCATTATAAAGTAAATTATATTGTAATCTAGTAATTCGCTCCTAGCGCCACAGATAGAACAATGATGTTTCACCGGATGTATAAATGTGAAGCATCCGGTTGGCGTTTCCACTCACTACCAAATATGGTAGAGAGAGGAAGCCCAAATATGGTGGTGAGAGGAAGCCCAAATATGGTGGTGAGAGGAAGCCCAAATATGGTGGTGAGAGGATGCCCAAATATGGTGGTGAGAGGATGCCTAGTGGGAGAAGATGGAGCGCGAGATGGATTTTGGCCGACATTCTGCTAATTTTCTCATCTATGAAACATTCAATCTCAATACTGTTTTCTATTCTCAAAACTAGAATCTGTTACAAACAGAGTGGACTACATTTTTGTAAACTTTACCCTTTGCCAAAGTTTTTAAAAAATTGCAATGTTTAGAAGGAGTGCAAGGGCGAATGTAATTATTGCACACGCACTTCACATAGTAGGCATTCCCTAATGGAAATATGCAAATGCATGATAGAATGAGCCAATAGGCTCTCACTAGCTCACGCTTGGCTCTGCCCACCTCCTTGCTTGGCAGTGGTTGATCTTGGGTTAGTTGTTATGGATACAGGTATCCTGTATGTGTTCTTGGGTTAGTTGTTATGGATACAGGTATCCTGTATGTGTTCTTGGGTTAGTTGTTATGGATACAGGTATCCTGTATGTGTTCTTGGGTTAGTTGTTATGGATACAGGTATCCTGTATGTGTTCTTGGGTTAGTTGTTATGGATACAGGTATCCTGTATGTGTTCTTGGGTTAGTTGTTATGGATACAGGTATCCTGTATGTGTTCTTGTGTTTTTCCCCTCCTTCTGCCCTAATCACAGGTGTCCTTTGTGTTCCTGATTGGTGGTCGTTGGGGTGTCCCACCTGTCTGACATCCGTTTGGTCTGCTGATTGCTGAGGTGGACCAATCAGTGGACATTCCTCTGCATTGCACCACCTGTTTCTGACCAATCAGTGGACATTCCTCTGCATTGCACCACCTGTTTCTGGTTTTTCACTCACATCACACATCCCATTGTTTATAAAGCCGGTCAGTTGTGTTTGCTGACAGAGACTCTTTTCGTTTGTGAGTATGGATACTGTGGTGTCCTGTTTTTTTGTGTACTCACTCATTTGCTGGTTACTCTGTATGGTAACTTTGTTGTGTGTTTCTGGGAAAAGGGGGATTTAGGAAGTTGCCCTTGGGCCTACATTACCCGTAGGAAGAACATTGTCTAAAAACACTAGTTAGACCTGAGCGGACCACCCACTGTAATATTTGTATGATTAGCAGTAGCTTAGCGGTTCTTGAGGCAGGCAAGATCAGTTTAGGGTTTTTTGACATTATTGTTTCATTCCTTGGGTCCTGCTCAGCCCTTTTTCCCAAACTTTTACCGTGTGTTCACAATAAACGTTTTGTGTTTGACGGTAGCTTATGGTTGTCGGTGTATTTTTGTTCTCACTGTTTCCGTGTCACGATTCTAATTCGCATGAGTTATGTTACGGGTCTCTTTTCCATCCACCCTAGACTTTTAAAGCCACGGGGTTCGTAACATTAGTTATAAAAAATCTTTGCTAACACTACTTATCAAGGCAATACAACGCAATAGAACATCTCAACCAATAACAGTTAGAAACCACAGGATCCTGTAGTTGTCTGATTGTCTTCATTAAAACAGCAAGATATTTTCACCTCAGGACATCGGTCTGATAGGTGAGAGGACTGTATCACTGATGTGTCTCTGATGTGTTGCTCTGAAAATCACTTCCTGTTTCTCTCTGTGTGTGGTTGTTACTTCCTGTTTTTCTCAGCTAGATTTCACAGACATTTCTGTCACCAATTTACATTGGCTGTGTCCAAAATGGCACCCCCATTAGAGCCCTATGGGCCCTGGTCAAAAGAAGTGCACTATAGGGATGTAGCTCGGTTGGTAGAGCATGGTGTTTGCAACGCCAGGGTTGTGGGTTTGATTCCCACGGGGGGCCAGTATGAAAAAATAAAACTCACTAACTGTAAGTCGCTCTGGATAAGAGCGTCTGCTAAATGACTAAAATGTAAATAGGGTGAAGGAATGGTGCAGCAATGGATAACCACCGTTTTATGGCTCCTGACCAAGTCTTCTATTTGTGGTTTTTTGATCTGATCTTAAATGTTTTACATAATGTCTCCTCCATAATTTCCTATGACTGAAACAGCTTCTGGACATCAGAACAGCTAACCTCTAATCACTAACCTCCAATCACTAACCTCTATCCACTAACCTCCATTCACTAACCTCTATCCACTAACCTCTAATCACTAACCTCCAATCACTAACCTCTATCCACTAACCTCCATTCACTCATCTCCATTCGGATGAAGATATCTACTTCAACAAGTCAATGGCACAGGACATCCTGACACCCCGGACCAAGCCCTAATCCCAGAGACTCGGAAAGGAAGAGATGGCCGACGTGCGGGCACCCAGACGAAACTACGTCAGTGAATAAATAAACCCCCTCTACCCCTACCTGAGAAAGAGACAGTGATATAGAGGCCGACGTGCCTGATGAAACTACGGTGGAGAGTAAATAAACCCCCTCTACCCCTACCTGTTCTATTGATATAGAGGCCGACGTGCCTGATGAAACTACGGTGGAGAGTAAATAAACCCCCTCTACCCCTACCTGTTCTATTGATATAGAGGCCGACGTGCCTGATGAAACTACGGTGGTGAATAAATAAACCCCCTCTACCCCTACCTGTTCTATTGATATAGAGGCCGACGTGCCTGATGAAACTACGTCAGTGAATAAATAAACCCCCTCTACCCCTACCTGTTCTATAAACCCCCTCTACCCCTACCTGTTCTATAAACCCCCTCTACCCCTACCTGTTCTATAAACCCCCTCTACCCCTACCTGTTCTATAAACCCCCTCTACCCCTACCTGTTCTATAAACCCCCTCTACCCCTACCTGTTCTATAAACCCCCTCTACCCCTACCTGTTCTATAAACCCCCTCTACCCCTACCTGTTCTATAAACCCCCTCTACCCCTACCTGTTCTATAAACCCCCTCTACCCCTACCTGTTCTATAAACCCCCTCTACCCCTACCTGTAGTACCTGTTCTGTTGCCGAACGTACAAATCACTGGAGAACAAACTGGACGAGCTCAGTTCGAGACTATCCTATCAACAGGACCTGAAGAACCGTAATATCCCGTGTTTCTTGGAGTCGTAGCTGAACAAGGAAATGGATCATATACGCTACTGGTCAAAAGTGTTAGAACACCGACTCATTCAAAGGTTTTTCTTTATTTGTACTATTTTCTACATTGTAGAATAATAGTGAAGACATCAAAACTGAAATAATAACACATATGGAATCATTTAGTAACCAAAAAAGTGTTAAACAAATGAAAATGTATTTTATATTTGAGATTCTTCAAATAGCCACCCTTTGCCTTGATGACAGCAATTTCTGAGGCTGGTAACTCTAATGAACTTATCCTCTGCAGCAGAGGTAACTCTGGGTCTTCCTTTCCTGTGGTGGTCCTCATGAGAGACAGTTTCATCATAGCGCTTGATGGTTTTTGCGACTGCACTTGAAGAAACTTTCAAAGTTCTTGAAATGTTCCATATTGACTGACCTTCATGTCTTACATTTGTCACAAAACAACTGATTGGCACAAACTCATTAAGAAGGAAAGAAATTCTACAAATTAACTTTTAAGAAGGCACACCTGTTAATTGAAATGCATTCCAGGTGACTACCTCATGAAGCTGGTTGAGAGAATGCCAAGATTGTGCAACGCTGTCATCAAGGCAAAATGTGGTTATTTGAAGAATCTCAAATCTCAAATACATTTTGATTTGTTTAACACTTTTTTGGTTACTACATGATTCCATATGTGTTATCTCATAGTTTTGATGTCTTCACTATTATTCTACAATGTAGAAAATAGTAAAAATCAAGAAAAAACCCTTTAATGAGTAGGTGTTCTAAAACTTTTGACCAGCAGCGTACATTTAGCAGTTTTTTCTATTTATCGGCAGGACCAAACGGCAGCCTCGGGTCAAAGGGTAAGGTCAAAGGGGGAATACATCAGAATACCTCATGATAAGCTGTAGACCACACTATTTACAGAGCGAGTTTTCATCTATATTCTTCGTAGTCATCTATTTACCACCACAAACTGATGCTGGCACTAAGACCACACTCAACGAGCTGTATAAGGCCATAAGCAAACAGGAAACTGCTCATCCAGAGGCGGTGCACCTAGTGGCCGGTGATTTTAATGCAGGGAAACTAAAATCCATTTTACCTAATTTGTACCAGAATGTCAACTAGAGGCGACAAAACTCTAGATCACCTTTTACACATACATACAAGGCCGCCCTCCATTTGGCAAATCTGACCATAAATCTATCCTCCTGATTCCAGCTTATAAGCAAAAACTCAAACGGGAAGTACCAGTGAAGCACTCAATGCGGAAGTGGTACAATGAAGCGGATGCTAAGCTACAGGACTGTTTTGCTAGTACAGACTGGAATATGTTCCGGGATTCATCCAATGGCATTGAGGAGTACACCACCTCAGTCACTGGCTTCATCAATAAGTGCATTGACGACATCGTCCCCACAGTGACCGTGTACGTACATATCCCAACCAGAAGCCATGGATTACAGGCAACATCCGCACTGAGTTTAAGGCTAGAGCTGCCGCTGTCAAGGAGCAGGACACTAATCCAGCTACGACGTCCGACGAGCCATCAAACAGGCAAAGCATCAATACAGGACTAAGATTGAATCCTACTATGCTGACGCTCATCGGATGTGGAAGGGCTTGCAAACTATAACGAATTACAAAGGGAAACCCAGCCACGAGCTGCCCAGTGACGTGAGCCTAACAGACGAGCTAAATGCGTTCTATGCTCACTTCTAGGTAAGCAATACTGAACCATGGATGAGAGCACCAGCTGTTCCAGACGACTGTATGATCACGCTCTCCGTACCCGATGTGAGTAAGACCTTTAAACAGGTTAAGATTGACAAGGCCGCAGGTCCAGACAGATTACCAGGACGCGTACTCAGATCATGCTCTGACCAGCTTGCAAGTGTCTTCACTGACATCTTCACTCACATCTGTAGCAATGAAATGCTTTGAAAGGCTGGTCATGGCTCACATAAAAACCATCATCCCAGACATCATGGACCCACTCCAATTCACATACCGCCCCAACAGATCCAAAGATGACGCAATTTCTATTGTACTCCACACTGTCCTTTCCCACCTGGGTAAGAGGAACAGCTATGTGAAAATGCTTTTCATTGACTATAGATCAGCGTTCAACACCATAGTGCCCTCAAAGCTCATCACTAAGCTAAGGACCCTGGGACTGAACACCTCCCTCTGCAACTGGATCCTGGACTTCCTGACGGTGCGCCCCCAGGTGGTAAGGGTAGGCAACAACACATCCACCACGCTGACCCTCAACACGGGGGCCCCTCAGGGGTGCGTGCTCAGTACCCTCCTGTACTCCCTGTTCACCCATGACTGCATGGCCAGGCACGACTCCAACACCATCATTAAGTTTACTGACGACACGACGGTGGTAGGCCTGATCACCGACAACGATGAGACAGCCTATAGGGAGGAGGTCAGAGACCTGGCAATGTGGTGCCAGGACAACAACCTCTCCCTCAACGTGATCAAGACAAAGGAGCTGATCGTGGACTACAGGAAACGGAGGGCCGAGCACGCCCCCATTCACATCGACAGGGCTGTAGTGGAACAGGCTGAGAGCTTCAAGTTCCTTGGTGTCCACATTACTAAGGATCTATCATTGTCCAAACACACCAAGACAGGAGGCTGAAAAGATTTGGCATGGGCCCTCAGATCCTCAAAAGGTTCCACAGCTGCACCATCGAGAGCATCCTGACTGGTTGCATCACCGCCTGATATGCCAACTGCTTGGCATCTGACCAGAAGGCGCAACAGAGGGTAGTGGGTACGGCCCAGTACATCACTGGGGCCGAGCTCCCTGCCATCCAGATTCTGTATACCAGGCGGTGTCAGAGGAAGGCCCTAAAAATTGTCAAAGACTCCAGCCATCCAAGTCAGACTGTTCTCTCTGCTACCGCACGGCAAGCGGTACTGATGCACCAAGACTGGAACAAACAGGACCCTGAACAGCTTCTACCCCCAAGCCATAAGACTGCTAAATAGTTAGTTAAATAGTTAACCAAATAGCTACCCGGACTATCTGCATTGACCCTTTTTGCGCAAACTTTTTTAACTCATCACATATGCTGCTGCAACTGTTTATTATCTATCCCGTTGCCTAGTCACTTTATTCCTAGTTACTGTATATGTACAGTTGAAGTCGGAAGTTTACATACACCTTAACCAAATACATTTAAACTCAGTTTTTCACAATTTCTGACATTTAACCCTAGTAAAAATTCCCTGTCTTAGGTCAGTTAGGATCACCACGTTATTTTAAGAATGTGAAATGTCAGAATAATAGTAGAGAGAATGATTTATTTCAGCTTTTATTTCTTTCATCACATTCCCAGTGGGTCAGAAGTTTACATACACTCAATTAGTATTTGGTAGCAATGCCTTTAAATTGTTCAACTTGGGTCAAACGCTTCGGGTAGCCTTCCACAAGCTTCCCACAATACGTTGGGTGAATTTTGGCCCATTCCTCCTGACAGAGCTGGTGTAACTGAGTCAGGTTTGTAGGCCTCCTTGCTCGCACACGCTTTTTCAGTTCTGCTTTGTGATGGCCACTCCAATACCTTGACTTTGTTGTCCTTAAGCCATTTGGCCACAACTTTGGAAGTACGCTTGGGGTCATTGTCCATTTGGAAGACCCATTTGCGACCAAGCTTTAACTTCCTGACTGATGTCTTGAGATGTTGCTTCAATATATCCACATAATTTTCCTTCCTCATGATGCCATCTATTTTGTGAAGTGCACCAGTCCTTCCTGCAGCAAAGCACCCCCACAGCATGATGCTGCCACCCCCGTGCTTCACAGTTGGGATGGTGTTCTTCGGCTTGCAAGCGTCCCCCTTTTTCCTCCAAACATAACGATCGTCATTATGGCCAAACAGTTCTATTTTTGTTTCATCAGACCAGAGGACATTTCTCCAAAAAGTACGATCTTTGTCCCCATGTGCAGTTGCAAACCGTAGTCTTGCTTTTTATGGTGGTTTTGGAGCAGTGGCTTCTTCCTTGCTGAGCGGCCTTTCAGGTTATGTCGATATAGGACTCGTTTTACTGTGGATATAGCTACTTTTGTACCTGTTTCCTCCAGCATCTTCACAAGGTCCTTTGCTGTTGTTCTGGGAAGGATTTGCCCTTTTCGCACCAAAGTATGTTCATCTCTAGGAGACAGAACGCGTCTCCTTCCTGAGCGGTATGACGGCTGCGTGGTCCCATGGTGTTTATACTTGTGTATTATTGTTTGTACAGATGAACGTGGTACCTTCAGGCGTTTGGAAATTGCTCCCAAGGATGAACCAGACTTGTGGAGGTCTCCAATTGTTTTTTTGAGGTCTTGGCTGATTTTCTTTTGATTTTCCCATGATATCAAGCATAGAGGCACTGCATTTGAAGGTGAAGGTAGGCCTTGAAATACATCCACAGGTACACCTCCAATTGACTCAAATGATGTCAATTAGCCTATCAGAAGCTTCTAAAGCCATGACATCAATTTCTGGAATTTTCCAAGCTGTTTAAAAGGCACAGTCAACTTATTGTATGTAAACTTCTGACCCACTGGAATTGTGATACAGTGAATTATAAGTGAAATAATCTGTCTGTAAACAATTGTTGGAAAAATTACTTGTCAAAACTAGAGTTTGTTAACAAGAAATGTGTTAAGTGGTTGAAAAACAAGCTTTAATGACTCCAACCAAGGTGTATGTAAACTTCCGACTTCAACTGTACATATCTACTTCAATTACCTCGTACCCCTGTACATCAACTCGGTACTGGTACCCTGTGTATATAACCAAGTTATCATGGACTCAGTACTGGTACCCTGTGTATATAGCCAAGTTATCGTTACTCATTGTGTATTTATTTTTCTTTTATTATTACATGTTTTACTTTTCCATTATTTCTCTATTTTCTTTCTCTCTGCGTCGTTGGGAAGGGTCCTTAAGGAAGCTTTTCACTGTTAGTCTACACCTGTTGTTTAAGAAGCATGTGACAAATAAAAGTTTATTCCATTTTGACATTTGGGACAGTGTATAGTGCATTCGGTAAGTGTTCAGACCCCTTGACTTTTTCCATATTTTGTTACGTTATTCTAAAACGGATTAAAAAATAAATACATCTCATCAATGTACTCACAATACCCGATAATGACAAAGCGAAAACAGGTTTTTAGAAATGTATACAAATAAAATAAAATAAACGTATTTACATAAGTATTCAGACCCTTTGCTATGAGACTCGAAATTGAGCTCAGGTGCATCCTGTTTCCATTGATCATCCTTGAGCTGTTTCTACAACTTGATTAGAGTCCACCTGTGGTAAATGAAATTGATAGTCCCCTGTAGCTCAGTTGGTAGAGCATGGCGCTTGCAACGCCAGGGTTGTGGGTTCGTTTCCCACGGGGGGCCAGTATGAAAAATGTATGCACTCACTAACTGTAAGTCGCTCTGGATAAGAGCATCTGCTAAATGCAAAAAAAAAAAAAAAAAAAGGCACACACCTTTCTATACAAGGTCCTACCATTGACAGTGTATGTCAGAGCAAAAACCAAGCCATGAGTTCGAATGAATTGTCCGTAGCGCTGTTCCTGTCTTCCCCAGCAGCTCAGAGCAATCAGTTCCTGCTGCTGAAAGGCCAACCAATGGTTGGTGTGTTTGATACATGTCTTCCTGCCCCCAGTGGCCAAATACACAGACAGAGCAGAGAAAATACACACAGCCTACAGAGTTAAACAACTCAACAATAAATCACCCCAGGTATGAGGAGAGGGGTGTTATGTTGTTAGGAGGGAGGGGCGAGGGTCATGGCTGTGAGGAGAGGGGTGTTATGTTGTTAGGAGGGCGGGGCGAGGGTCATGGCTGTGAGGAGAGGGGTGTTATGTTGTTAGGAGGGAGGGGCGAGGGTCATGGCTGTGAGGAGAGGGGTGTTATGTTGTTAGGAGGGAGGGGCGAGGGTCATGGCTGTGAGGAGAGGGGTGTTATGTTGTTAGGAGGGAGGGGCGAGGGTCATGGCTGTGAGGAGAAGGGTGTTATGTTGTTAGGAGGGAGGGGCGAGGGTCATGGCTGTGAGGAGAGGGGTGTTATGGTCTGTGTCCCAAATGGCACCCTAAGAGGGAGAGGTGATGAGGTCCGGCAGGCTAACTGAGGTGAGGGGCACTGGGAGGGAGGGTTTAAGAGGGAGAGGTGGTGAGGTCTGACAGGCTAACTGAAACCACATGGTCCCACACTTATCCTGCTGCCTGTTAGTTCTATTTTACTGCTCCCCTCCCCTCCCCTCCCCTCCCCTCCCCTCCTGTCCTACAGCCTGTTAGCTGTAATTTACTGCTGGTGGTTCATCTGTCTCTGATCAGCCTCGAGCAGGGATCTGGAGAAACTGTTTTGGCACCTTGTCAGGACAGATCAACAGGACTTTACTCTGAGATGACCAGCCAGCCAGCCAGTCAGTCAGCCAGCCAGCCAGTCAGTCAGTCAGCCAGCCAGCCAGCCAGCCAGTCAGTCAGTCAGTCAGCCAACCAGACAGTCAGTCAGTCAGCCAACCAGACAGCCAGCCAGCCAGTCAGTCAGTCAGCCAGCCAGCCAGCCAGTCAGTCAGTCAGTCAGCCAACCAGACAGTCAGTCAGTCAGCCAGCCAGCCAGACAGCAGGACTTTACCCATAACCTCTAGCACCTCCCCTACCTCTATAACCTCTAGCACCTACCCTACCTCTACAACCTCTAGCACCTCCCCTACCTCTATAACCTCTAGCACCTCCCCTACCTCCATAACCTCTAGCACCTCCCCTACCTCCATAACCTCTATAACCTCTAGCACCTCCCCTACCTCTATAACCTCTAGCACCTACCCTACCTCTATAACCTCTAGCACCTCCCCTACCTCCATAACCTCTAGCACCTCCCCTACCTCCATAACCTCTAGCACCTCCCCTACCTCTATAACCTCTAGCACCTCCCCTACCTCCATAACCTCTAGCACCTCCCCTACCTCCATAACCTCTAGCACCTCCCCTACCTCCATAACCTCTAGCACCTCCCCTACCTCTATAACCTCCATAACCTCTAGCACCTCCCCTACCTCTATAACCTCTAGCACCTCCCCTACCTCCATAACTTCTAGCACCTCCCCTACCTCCATAACCTCTAGCACCTCCCCTACCTCTATAACCTCCATAACCTCTAGCACCTCCCCTACCTCTATAACCTCTAGCACCTCCCCTACCTCCATAACTTCTAGCACCTCCCCTACCTCTATAACCTCTAGCACCTCCCCTACCTCTATAACCTCCATAACCTCTAGCACCTCTAGCACCTCCCCTACCTCCATAACCTCTAGCACCTCCCCTACCTCTATAACCTCTAGCACCTCCCCTACCTCTATAACCTCTAGCACCTCCCCTACCTCCATAACCTCTAGCACCTCCCCTACCTCCATAACCTCTAGCACCTCCCCTACCTCTATAACCTCTAGCACCTCCCCTACCTCCATGACCTCTAGCACCTCCCCTACCTCTATAACCTCTAGCACCTCCCCTACCTCCATAACCTCTAGCACCTCCCCTACCTCTATAACCTCTAGCACCTCCCCTACCTCCATAACCTCTAGCACCTCCCCTACCTCCATAACCTCTAGCACCTCCCCTACCTCTATAACCTCCATAACCTCTAGCACCTCCCCTACCTCCATAACCTCTAGCACCTCCCCTACCTCCATAACTTCTAGCACCTCCCCTACCTCCATAACCTCTATAACCTCTAGCACCTCCCCTACCTCCATAACATCTATAACTTCTAGCACCTCCCCTACCTCTATAACCTCTAGCACCTCCCCTACCTCTATAACCTCTAGCACCTCCCCTACCTCTATATCCTCTAGCACCTCCCCTACCTCTATAACCTCTAGCACCTCCCCTACCTCCATAACCTCTATAACCTCTAGCACCTCCCCTACCTCCATAACCTCTAGCACCTCCCCTACCTCCATAACCTCTATAACCTCTAGCACCTCCCCTACCTCCATAACCTCTAGCACCTCCCCTACCTCTATAAACCTCTAGCACCTCCCCTACCTCTATAACCTCTAGCACCTCCCCTACCTCTAGCACCTCTAGCACCTCCCCTACCTCCATAACCTCTAGCACCTCCCCTACCTCCATAACCTCTAGCACCTCCCCTACCTCCATAACCTCTAGCACCTCCCTACCTCTATAACCTCTAGCACCTCCCCTACCTCTATAACCTCTAGCACCTCCCCTACCTCCATAACATCTAGCACCTCCCCTACCTCCATAACCTCTAGCACCTCCCCTACCTCTATAACCTCTAGCACCTCCCCTACCTCTATAACCTCTAGCACCTCCCCTACCTCTATAACCTCCATAACCTCTAGCACCTCCCCTACCTCTATAACCTCTAGCACCTCCCCTACCTCCATAACCTCTAGCACCTCCCCTACCTCTATAACCTCCATTACCTCTAGCACCTCCCCTACCTCTATAACCTCTAGCACCTCCCCTACCTCTAGCACCTCCCCTACCTCTATAACCTCTATAACCTCTAGCACCTCCCCTACCTCTATAACCTCTAGCACCTCCCCTACCTCCATAACCTCTAGCACCTCCCCTACATCTACAACCTCTAGCACCTCCCCTACCTCTATAACCTCTATAACCTCTAGCACCTCCCCTACCTCCATAACCTCCATAACCTCTAGCACCTCCCCTACCTCTATAACCTCTATAACCTCTAGCACCTCCCCTACCTCTATAACCTCTAGCACCTCCCCTACCTCCATAACCTCTAGCACCTCCCCTACCTCTATAACCTCTATAACCTCTAGAACCTCCCCTACCTCCATATCCTCTAGCACCTCCCCTACCTCCATAACCTCTATAACCTCTAGCACCTCCCCTACCTCTATAACCTCTAGCACCTCCCCTACCTCTAGCACCTCTAGCACCTCCCCTACCTCCATAACCTCTAGCACCTCCCCTACCTCTAGCACCTCTAGCACCTCCCCTACCTCCATAACCTCTAGCACCTCCCCTACCTCTATAACCTCTATAACCTCTAGCACCTCCCCTACCTCTATAACCTCTAGCACCTCCCCTACCTCTATATCCTCTAGCACCTCCCCTACCTCTATAACCTCTAGCACCTCCCCTACCTCCATAACCTCTATAACCTCTAGCACCTCCCCTACCTCCATAACCTCTAGCACCTCCCCTACCTCCATAACCTCTATAACCTCTAGCACCTCCCCTACCTCCATAACCTCTAGCACCTCCCCTACCTCTATAACCTCTAGCACCTCCCCTACCTCTATAACCTCTAGCACCTCCCCTACCTCTAGCACCTCTAGCACCTCCCCTACCTCCATAACCTCTAGCACCTCCCCTACCTCCATAACCTCTAGCACCTCCCCTACCTCCATAACCTCTAGCACCTCCCCTACCTCTATAACCTCTAGCACCTCCCCTACCTCTATAACCTCTAGCACCTCCCCTACCTCCATAACATCTAGCACCTCCCCTACCTCCATAACCTCTAGCACCTCCCCTACCTCTATAACCTCTAGCACCTCCCCTACCTCTATAACCTCTAGCACCTCCCCTACCTCTATAACCTCCATAACCTCTAGCACCTCCCCTACCTCTATAACCTCTAGCACCTCCCCTACCTCCATAACCTCTAGCACCTCCCCTACCTCTATAACCTCCATTACCTCTAGCACCTCCCCTACCTCTATAACCTCTAGCACCTCCCCTACCTCTAGCACCTCCCCTACCTCTATAACCTCTATAACCTCTAGCACCTCCCCTACCTCTATAACCTCTAGCACCTCCCCTACCTCCATAACCTCTAGCACCTCCCCTACATCTACAACCTCTAGCACCTCCCCTACCTCTATAACCTCTATAACCTCTAGCACCTCCCCTACCTCCATAACCTCCATAACCTCTAGCACCTCCCCTACCTCTATAACCTCTATAACCTCTAGCACCTCCCCTACCTCTATAACCTCTAGCACCTCCCCTACCTCCATAACCTCTAGCACCTCCCCTACCTCTATAACCTCTATAACCTCTAGAACCTCCCCTACCTCCATATCCTCTAGCACCTCCCCTACCTCCATAACCTCTAGCACCTCCCCTACCTCTATAACCTCCATTACCTCTAGCACCTCCCCTACCTCCATATCCTCTAGCACCTCCCCTACCTCTATAACCTCTAGCACCTCCCCTACCTCCATAACCTCTAGCACCTCCCCTACCTCCATAATTTCTGTACAGGAAAGAGGTGAGAGAAAAGATATGCACCCCCCACAGTGCCCCCCTCACTCCCCCCAAACTGTATGTAACCCTAGACTAGAGGCTACCCTCAGAATCATTACTGGTGGTGAAAGGAGGGCAGAAGGGCTGAAAGAAAAGACAGGGCTGGAAGAAAGCTCATGTAGAGAGTTCAGGAGACAATGTGGAGATCATCTCTACTGAGAGGACTAAAGCTCATGTAGAGGGTTCAGGAGACAATGTGGAGATCATCTCTACTGAGAGGACTAAAGCATGTAGAGAGTTCAGGAGACAATGTGGAGATCATCTCTACTGAGAGGACTAAAGCATGTAGAGAGTTCAGGAGACAATGTGGAGATCATCTCTACTGAGAGGACTAAAGCTCATGTAGAGGGTTCAGGAGACAATGTGGAGATCATCTCTACTGAGAGGACTAAAGCTCATATAGAGAGTTCAGGAGACAATGTGGAGATCATCTCTACTGAGAGGACTAAAGCATGTAGAGAGTTCAGGACACAATGTGGAGATCATCTCTACTGAGAGGACTAAAGCTCATGTAGAGAGTTCAGGACACAATGTGGAGATCATCTCTACTGAGAGGACTAACGCTCATGTAGAGAGTTCAGGAGACAATGTGGAGATCATCTCTACTGAGAGGACTAAAGCATGTAGAGAGTTCAGGAGACAATGTGGAGATCATCTCTACTGAGAGGACTAAAGCATGTAGAGAGTTCAGGAGACAATGTGGAGATCATCTCTACTGAGAGGACTAAAGCATGTAGAGAGTTCAGGACACAATGTGGAGATCATCTCTACTGAGAGGACTAAAGCTCATGTAGAGAGTTCAGGACACAATGTGGAGATCATCTCTACTGAGAGGACTAAAGCATGTAGAGAGTTCAGGAGACAATGTGGAGATCATCTCTACTGAGAGGACTAAAGCATGTAGAGAGTTCAGGAGACAATGTCGAGATCATCTCTACTGAGAGGACTAAAGCTCATGTAGAGAGTTCAGGAGACAATGTGGAGATAATCTCTACTGAGAGGACTAAAGCATGTAGAGAGTTCAGGAGACAATGTGGAGATCATCTCTACTGAGAGGACTAAAGCATGTAGAGAGTTCAGGAGACAATGTGGAGATCATCTCTACTGAGAGGACTAAAGTATGTAGAGAGTTCAGGAGACAATGTGGAGATCATCTCTACTGAGAGGACTAAAGCTCATGTAGAGGGTTCAGGAGACAATGTGGAGATCATCTCTACTGAGAGGACTAAAGCATGTAGAGAGTTCAGGAGACAATGTGGAGATCATCTCTACTGAGATGACTAAAGCTCATGTAGAGAGTTCAGGAGACAATGTGGAGATCATCTCTACTGAGAGGAATAAAGCATGTAGAGAGTTCAGGAGACAATGTGGAGATCATCTCTACTGAGAGGACTAAAGCTCATGTAGAGGGTTCAGGAGACAATGTGGAGATCATCTCTACTGAGAGGACTAAAGCTCATGTAGAGAGTTCAGGACACAATGTGGAGATCATCTCTACTGAGAGGACTAGAATAGACAGCCTCACTGTTTTGAATCACGTCCATCTAAGAAGGTCCGGTTATGTGTTTCCAGCCCTTTATTAAGTGTTTATTGTTGGTTTAATTCAACATTACGCCCCCTTCCAAGTATCACAATATTTTTTCCATGGCAAAAATGAAAACACGAAGCAGACTAGTCTCTTTGGAGCTTTAAAAACCTGCTGTGTGTAAAATATTGCGTGCTATAGCTTGGAAAATAAATACATGTGATTCTGGATGACAACATAATGATTTTAGTTTGCAACATTAGTGCTGTTTTCCTAGAGAAGTTAAATCCACTTGGTGTTTTGTTTCCTTGCCACGATACTAACCAATCTGGTGATACTGGTATGGTCCCGGCCCTACCTTCAGTCCTGTGATACTGGTATGGTCCCAGCCCTACCTTCAGTATGGTGATACTGGTATGGTCCCGGCCCTACCTTCAGTATGGTGATACTGGTATGGTCCCGGCCCTACCTTCAGTCTGGTGATACTGGTATGGTCCCGGCCCTACCTTCAGTATGGTGATACTGGTATGGTCCCGGCCCTACCTTCAGTCCTGTGATACTGGTATGGTCCCGGCCCTACCTTCAGTCCTGTGATACTGGTATGGTCCCGGCCCTACCTTCAGTCTGGTGATACTGGTATGGTCCCGGCCCTACCTTCAGTCCTGTGATGCTGGTATGGTCCCGGCCCTACCTTCAGTATGGTGATACTGGTATGGTCCCGGCCCTACCTTCAGTCCTGTGATGCTGGTATGGTCCCGGCCCTACCTTCAGTATGGTGATACTGGTATGGTCCCCGGCCCTACCTTCAGTCCTGTGATACTGGTATGGTCCCGGCCCTACCTTCAGTATGGTGATACTGGTATGGTCCCGGCCCTACCTTCAGTCCTGTGATGCTGGTATGGTCCCGGCCCTACCTTCAGTCCTGTGATACTGGTATGGTCCCGGCCCTACCTTCAGTCCTGTGATATTGGTATGGTCCCGGCCCTACCTTCAGTCCTGTGATACTGGTATGGTCCTGGCCCTACCTTCAGTATGGTGATACTGGTATGGTCCCGGCCCTACCTTCAGTATGGTGATACTGGTATGGTCCCGGCCCTACCTTCAGTCCTGTGATATTGGTATGGTCCCGGCCCTACCTTCAGTATGGTGATACTGGTATGG